GATTACCTAATGGTAAGTAATGGGAGACGCCCATAGACTCCCGGAACGCCAAATCAGTTACCGGCATTTTGGGGATAAGGGTTTCGAATATTTAAGGATTTTCAATCCTTCAAGGGGTTGTTTGACGGTGGTCGAGCCGACCCATTCGTCCCGCCCCTTCCCCTATCCCTTCCTGATCTTTATATCCGCAACACCTATCCCCAAAAGGCCTGCAACGCACTCGTAACTCCTTTGGTGTTGCGGATGTCCATGGGCGGCGCCGATTGCTTACCATCAGGTAATCCATCTGCTCGTTGGTCGACTTATACCATAAAAAAAGTCTTAGTCTCGAATTACCACGATTAAAGTGTTATATGATCCCCCCCCCTCCCTAAAAAGAATTCCTCAAAGTCCAGTTATTTGTTTAACGCAATTTTTCGATGCGATATCCCCACAATCAGTTGTTGTAATCGCAACCAGATTATCCACCGATCAACAAAGCGTTTGGTAACCGGTTTCTTATACATAATTTATTGTATTTTAATCTGTTTCACTCTGAATTTGTGGCATTGCTGTTTATAATAGCTAAACTGCTAATAACAAGTTTTGTATCGTGTGGTGGCCAGGAGGTTAAGGCGCCCGCTTCTCATTATTAGGCTGCGGGTTCGAAATTTGACAACTACCAATGTGACTTTTTCCGAGTTATATGTAGGTACTTTCAATGATTATAGACACCACTGACATAAAACATCATCAAATGTTTCTTCTTCCGACCATAGTGTCAGACTCATACGGTCGCTGTGCCTCATTGCGCTTGCCCCGTAACCCCGGCTGAATCGTAAGGAAACCTGGATTCTTATGCGTGGTCATTAATGCTCAAACCTTCTCCGTGTGTGATGATGTGATGTTAATGTTAACATCATCGGAATAACTATTTGTAGATTTATTCAGATAGAACGAATTTTGTTAAACCATTATATTTTAACTTTTATTTGTATCCTAAAAGACTTTTTTCTTTGATTTACTGTTACAAACCAACGTTGCTTATGACGTAAAGAGTTCATTTGAAATGAGGTTCCGTAGTTTTATTTCATAACGTTAAAAAGGGATTTTATATTTATTTATTGATTTAACACACTTCTTTATGACCGCCGATTCAACGATTCGTTTTTCAAATTAGCTTCTGCACGCGCATAAAGTAATGTGTCCCGGATTTTAAAAACAGCAGCGTTTAAATTGATAGTTCGACTAAAATAGAAAGAAAGAAAGAAAACACATTTATCGACAAATAGGCACACAAATACAAGTATATAAAAATACATAATAAGAACACAGTATTTATGAATACAATAATAAATTAATAAACAAAACAAGAATAACATATAAAGTATTAAAAAAGAAAAAAAAAAAACTAAAATAAAACGCAAATCAAGTATAATTTATAGCCGTAGCAGTACTCAGGAACATTGTAGCTATCTATCAGTGACAGGTTTTTGGAAACCCGACCAGTGATTGCAAAGTTTACCCCCTACATACACGTTTAAAAGTACGTCTTGATAATGTTAGTATAAAAACAAAAATAAATAATGTCTTATTTGTATAGTTTGTAAAATGTTGCAAAATTAACACAATCGTAAGATATTTTCAATTAGATTCGAATCTCAAAAAAAATAACGGTTATCGAAAACAGTTAGGTATTTCCATAAAAAATTAACGTTGCAAAAACCGAAAGTTTAAAAAAAACAAGCTACCAAAATTAGTCATAGGTGATTTTGACAAAATAAATCTCTTTTGCTTTCGTAAGGAGTTAAAAAAACTGGTTTTTAATTTTTTGGCTGTGTGTAAGACATTTCGTTCTCTCTGGCTGTATGCAAGACTGTCCTTGACTCACATAGGATGCGCCGCCATTTTGGAGCTGTCAACGTGACATTTAGAGGTTATTTTTTTTCTTTTTTATTTTTGTTCACAACAAGGGTTTATTTAGGCTATCAATTAAAAGAGGTTTTAATTTTATTGAAATGGTTAATTTTATTGATATTAATGTGAGTTTTAATTGGTAATCTGTGTAAGCCCTGGTTTTATTGGCATGGATTTTTTGCATGTTTCATGTTATTTTTTGTTAGGTATTGAAAATTTAAAGGTACCTGTATTGAACGATATCTTTATGTGTTTTGATGTGTTTTGAATAGGTATACGACATATTTGTTTTAAATTTTTCCTTTGCATATTCAGCTTCAACAAAATTTTTGCTTAATCTGTCTTGAATAAAGGATATTAGTGTTATTGTGTATTCAAGCCAACAAACTAATCACAATATATATTTTTGCCTTGATGGGTGGTTGTATACGCATTTGACTGGCATGGTGTCTTGGAGGTTCAGGTGCCTGTTTCTCATCATGTGAGCGTACGGGTCCAAACTTTAGCTAGTATAGACACATTTTACACCACTCAGAAACGGCGAAGGAAAACATGTTAAGAAAACATGGACTTTAAATTTCTAATTATAAGTTTGAAATTGCCAATACACCTTGAGCAAGAGTGGTGATTAAGGTTCAACCCTTCTCCGTGTGAGAAGAGGCCTTTGCTCAGAAATGGGCACTTGTAGGCTGATGATGATGAGCGGATTGCATTACGATGTTATATGAAGTAAAGAGCTTCTCTAGATATTAGCAAAAAAAAAACACGTAAGTTTATAGCATTCACACTAACAGATGGAAAAGGGGATTTTTATTAACATGTAAGGATTTCCCATACAAATATAAAATCAATATTTCAATAAGAATTTTACGTAAAAAATACCCTTAACCTACACCAAACTTTGAATCTATACCTTCATCATTAAGAGTTGAGATTTTGACACATAATGTGATAAAAACTTGACGAAATTTCTTCCATTTAATATACCGTAGTCTTAAATTAATTAAGAGTTTTTTTTGTTTTAGTCTGACTAAAGAAATTTAATAGATTATCTTTAGGGTTCTTTTTGAGAATGGTCCTATTATAATTTGTATGTTTTTACGTGATATCACGCTTCGCTTCGACCGCAGTAATATCAGGGCCTTACAGTTCACCGGCGTGTGAAAGTCAAAATCATTTCCACTTTTGAAACATCCAAATAGTGAAAAACACGCCGGTGTCTGTCAGTCTGTTCGTCAGTGAAGCTAGGTGCTCGTTCCAAATTGTAGATTCGAATGGAGAAGAACGAGCAAGAAAGTCCACCGTTTCTCTTTTAAAAAAATAATATTTGTTTAACAATGACACTAATATATACATCATTCCGAAAAAAAAACAATGATGGGAACTATAATTAAATTTTAAACACTTTATCGTCTCGAACATGGCGCCTGAACTTCGTGTCGTGTGTTCGTTCATCGACAGCCGTGTACGGCTGTCGATAACGCAAGCTTCACAGATTAAAAAGTTGAGGTTTGTCAGAGAGCGTTGTTTTTTTTTTTGTTTTGCGTTACACAAACGGCAAACGGATAACCTGATGGTAAGCAATCAGCGCCGGCCATAAACACTCGTTATACCAAGGAAGTTACTACAAGTGCGTTGGCGACCTCTTGTGGGTTATTAGGGATTTAAGGGTACGAGATTTGAGGATCCGGTAACCTCATTCACACGGTGAAACACAACGCTGTGGGTTGTTTCACGCCGGTTCTCTGTGAGACGTAGGTATCACTCCGGTCGAGCCGACACATTCGTGCCGAAGCATGGCTTTCTCACATTGTCCAACTGCTGTCCAGTCACTGTTTTTTTTTATGGTACAAGTCCGCAAACGACCATTCGGATTACCTGATGGAAAGCAATCGGCGCCGCCCATGGACACCCGCAACACCAAAGGAGTTACGAGTGCGTTGCCGGCCTTTTAGGAATAAGGGTTGCGGATATAAGGATTGAGAAGGGGAGGGATTGGGCCTCCGGGTAACCTCACTCACACGGTGAAACACAACGCTGTGGGTAGTTTCACGCCGGTATTCAGTGAGGCCGTGGTATCACTCCGGTCGTTCATTCGTGCCGAAGCATGGCTCTCTCACATTGTGCAGCTGCTGTCCGGTCACTGTCCATTGTTTTTTTAATTTTATGGTACAATAACGGTTCTTTTGGAAAAAGCGGCCCAACAAAATATAGGTGACGAACGCGTTTTTATATACAACATCATTCTCATCATCATACTTTTGAAGGCACGGAACCTAATATATACAGGTTCGATTTGCATTCGACCACATTTTTTTTTGCTGTCTACATGTTCGGTTCAATAACCGAACAGGTTTGATGTTCTGTCGTGTCATTATGTAATAATGATGATCATTATATCGTATGTGTGTGTGTTGGGGACTTAACTCGGAAACTGCTTGACTCATTTTGATCGTGTAATGTTTTTTTTTTCTTGAAGATGCGTGGAATGTTTTTGAAATGTTGGCTTGTGTTTTAGTACTTAAATTTGTATTGGTAATAAGTAGGTTGTCTTGTCCTGGTCCAAAAGTCTACCCAAGATTTTTGGAGTCAATATAATATGTAGAGTAAAAGAATGAAAAGTAAAGATGTTTTAGAGCAATACACAAGTTTCAGCAGCCATTTCTGGAGAAATTGGTTAGGTTAAATTGTAGCTGATTTTGGATTTTGGCACACAACAACATACAATTTATTCAGAACTCGCATTACTCTCAATTTTATGATGGCAAATCTTTCCAAAATAGAATCTTTTAATCCGATAAGACAGCTATCCTACGGGACTAGTCATTTATAAGACTAATGGTGACGGGGTGAAACATTGCCGAAACACACTGGAGTACATAAATAGTCTGGCGTTTTCACCTTCACCAAAATTTTTATTTCCTCCTGTGTCGTGGGTGCGTTTACAAACATACAATTCCATATACACGTCACACTCAGATCCGGAACAAAGATTTGTGGATTACACAGAGTCATGTTGTGTTCCATGCGGGAATCGATGGTCGCCAGTTGCCCAACCGTGCAGTCAAAAATGGTTAATATGATAAAAGCAATTCGTCACTTACCAGGGGTGTCAGTTTCCACATCAAAGTGTATATGGGTTCTCGCAGACACCATGAGCCGGTAGTCGCAAGTTTCACACCTAATGCTGAGGTGCCACATGCCAACGTAAGCTGCTTGATCTTCTGGTCTGTCTGGACTCATAGGGAGGACTGATAACCTGTGAAAAAAGAAGGAGTTCTGTAATTATCACGTCGGTGTTGGAGAGCTAAGCTTCGGCACGAATGGGTCGGCTCGATCGATACCACGGCCTAACATAAAAATGTTTACAAACATATCACATCGAGTATTTTTCTTTTTTTTCATTCTTCTCCAAAAATATCTAAATTTTGGAACCGGCGTCTATCTCACGTACTGACTGATGGGCGATTTTAATTTTGGCGTCAAAAAGCTACACCTACATTAGACCGTTTTTACATTTGAGCTTTTCAAGCCCACCCATTTTGGTCTTCTGGAACCAAAAATAGGGTCTTTGTAGGAATTGCTATATAGAAAAAAATTGCTGATTGTTAAATCTCCCCGAACCTTAATTCGTGCCCTTTTTATTGGACAACAAACAACTTGCAGGATCCGATACAACTCCAGTGCATTAGGATCTACAGTAGTAGATAGAACCAAGAAAACCTCCGGACTTTAATGTACCGGACATCTTAATTCCAGGGACATAAATAACTGTCTTGGATCCCGCAACAAAATAAATCAGAAAATATTATTTGACGAGCATATATAGCGGCGTAGTTTCCCCTTTTCTTTTTAAGTCGATATGTTTTGTGTTTGACATACAATTATTAAAAAAAGACTCACATGTCTAAATCGTACTTGGTGCCAGGGAATACCAGGTACACGTCTCTCGGAGATACACCCTCAGTCCTGGATGTAGAGGAGAAGGCGGCCACTGATGTCGTGTTGTACAGATCGATTTGTGGAGCTGGACAGAAAAGACATTGTAAAGCTTTAAAAGTATTTATTATCCATACATCCTCGCTTAAAATCCTCCGCTTCCGGATTAAATTTTATTATCTACGTATAATCCAAACTTCAAAACTAATATTATAAATGCGAAAGTAACTCTGTCTATCGGTCTGTCTTTTCTTCACGCTTAAACTTCTGAACCTATTTGTGTGGAATTTGGTACAGACATGGTTTGGAACTCGAAGAAGGACATAGGATAATTTTTAAACCCGAAAACTACAGGATGTTAATATTCCTAAAGTGGGGGATAGGAGAAAATCCTAAAGTGGGGCAACGTCTTTTTGTCAATAAATTCCTCGCGAATGTCGTGGGCAAAAGCTTGTCAAATATAATGCATGTTCCTTTCCAAAGAACTACATTTCTCTGTACCGAATTACATCTAAATCGGTTCAGTTATTATTATTTTTTTGTTTGTGAGATAGGTACAGAAAGACCAGCTAGTACTTATTTACATTCAAAAGATTAGAGTTCTGCTTCTGCCCAGGAATTAGCAAGAAAGATAATTTTACGTATAGTTAATTTCTAAATCCAATTCCTCCCATCTCTTTTAGATCTTCGAGGATAAAAATCCTCAATGAGTGCCAGTTGAATCATAACACTTATCTAGTGTCTTAAGACTTGTAAAACCCTCAAACATTTGAAAATCTTTTGCTAAAGTAATCCTATATTTTTGCCTAAAACTTGTCCCCATTAGAACTCGAAAAAATATCGCGAATTAAATTTTACATAATTACATGCGTACAAGGTACATATATAATTATCCTGTCAAAACATAACAGCTTGCCACCGGAACATAGTGATTTCATATAATCATAATCATCATCATTTTTTCCTCTATAGTCATTTCAAAAGTAATTTGTATCATTCTTTTAATGACTGCTTAATATGGCATTGAAAACCTTTTTCCTGTGCATTAAAGTCTATTATTGCATCTATTATTCTCGTCTGGACGGTCTACCAGCAGTTGGCTGGCCAGACCTATACTGTGTTCCATTTGTTTTAAGGCGATACCTAAGTACGTGTGTCGCCTGGACAGTCACCGCTACCATCAGTTGACTCGACAATCTCTTTACATGAGCTGCTGTTTACATGTGATCATTAGCTCATGACGATACCTAAGTACGTGTGTCGCCTGGACAGTCACCGCTACCATCAGTTGACTCGACAATCTCTTTACATGAGCTGCTGTTTACATGTGAACATTAGCTCATGACGAAACCTAAGTACGTGTGTCGCCTGGACAGTCACCGCTACCATCACTTGACTGGACAATCTTTTTACATGAGCTGCTGTTTGCTCATGACGATATCTATGTGGCCTGGACTGTCATATGAAGGACTTAGGACTTACCATCATTTGGAGGATATAAGACTGCATGGTCTACGGCTCCCTCGATGAAGACCCTCAATGCTGTCACTCCGTTCTCAACTGGAACTCCTAACGATATGGCTTGTTCAGCTCCGCGACGTACCAACAGAAGCTGCAAGAAAGACAAAGACTTCTTTATGCTCGGTTAAGCAAAGTGCAGATGGAAGAAAAAGTCTTCCTTCTGTGTGTCTTTGTTCAGCTGTGGGCACTTATAGGCTGATGGTGATGATGATCACATCAAATCAAATCATTTATTTCAAGTTGACCACAACAGGCACTTTTGATGATGTTTTATGATGATAAAATGGTATACTTACATCAAGTTTCTCCAGTCCCAAGTCGTTATGTAATCTTCCTCTTCTACCCTGCTTAGGGTCCAGGGGGCTCCACTGTTCCAGTTCAGTCTCCGCAGCCAAGTTACTTGTTCCTTCCATGTCCTGAAACAAAATGAGCGTTTATTTGTCTGGTGCGGTTTCTTTGGCATGTACTAGTATGTGGCGATATATTTCAGGGTCTTTAGAAGGTCCCTATTCCTAAGGATCCTGTTTGGGTTTCTTTTTCATTTCATTATGCTTTTGGATTTGGCCTAATGGAGAGCCATGCTCAGGCACGAATGGGCCAGCTTTGTGGTGACCTACTACATGTTTAATGTAGTTATATGAAACTTAGGCTTATAGTTAAATCCTGATTAGTCAAGTTGGTCTGGTAGCAAAAATAAATTCTATTGTGATCAAAATAAAAATCTAGATCTAGCTGTTTGAACTATCATAGCTATTTGAATTTTACTCCTGTTCTTGAACTTTTTTGTGGGAAATATACTCGGTTCTTACTGATTGGGACGCGACGGACTTCAGTGTTCCGGTGTTTTCATGGTTGTATCTACTATAGATCCTGGTGCACAGGAGTTAACGGTTTTGGGAGGTTGTGGCAGGTTTGACTCCTGGTTTTAGGTCACCACACCTTGACCGGAGTGATGCCACGACTTAACAGACAATTGGCGCAGCGACTTATCAAGGTTTGCATTGGTTCGCTGCCTCATGAATGAGTTGCCACAGGCTTGATTGCCTTCGAATACATAGGCCAAGCCTTGGCCGGAAAGATACAAATATTATATAATGGTATAACATAAACTTCTCTCGAAAACTTTCTACTGGTAGTAATTTACTGTGATCGTTAACCATTACTAGAGCACTATTAAAGCTCGTTAAATCAGCTTTTTTCAATAAAATGCCAATTTAAAGCTGTCTGAGAATTTTTATTTATATTGTTTTATTTCATCACTAGCTATCCACCTTTCCTCCTCGCCTCAGTGTCAGTCATTTGTTTTTTTTAGTTAACCGCCACGCTATTGAAATGGTTGATTTATCCTGATTATCCGCTTTACTTTCCTAAAATTTTCGTTTCTAAGTATCTTCTCCTAAAAATAACTAACTCGGAAAAGCATAGGAATCGGTTCCGCTGTTCTCGAGATTAGCGATTTTTGTTTTCTGCTTAGAGTGGAAAATTATCAAATGATTTCTCTCGCTCAGGATGGGGTGATAGAGAGAAAGGGAGTGCCAGTCGCTTGAACAGTGACTAAAATTCACCCCTTATCTTTTCCTGGTCCAGGCCGAGGCCGTGTTACATTATGGCGCTTAACTTGCAACCCTGGCTAAACATCGGCCTTGTTAGGCCCCTTCTGTGGTGGTCTATTGGCTCTTTCAGGCAAATATAGATGGATTTAATATAAGGTTTTTGTCAGCGGCTCCACCGATGTATTTAATTACTAGCTTCCGCCCGTATCTTTTGAATTTATAATATAAGCAAGATAATGTTTTTCCTATTCTGGTGATGATTATCCATCACTGGCTTTTGCCCACGACTTCGCGTGGAATAGTGACTTCCTGCAGACTTTTAGTATAAAAATCACCCTATGTCCTTTCTCGAGTCCTAAACTATGTCTGTACCAAATTTCACAGAAATCGGTTCAGTAGGTTCAGTTAAGCGTGAAGAAAAGACAGATAGACAGACAGACAGAGTTAATTTCGAATTTATAATATTAGCTTGGATTACTCTAAATTGTAACTATCAATAAACTTCACTTACCATGACTTGTAGTGGGTATGGCATGACCTCTCCTTCAGTATGCTTGGAAACATTCCTCAACTCCTGTAGAGCTTCTTCAGACTCGGGTGATGGATGTGCAGGATCTGTCCATATGGTGTAGACCTGGTGATGATAGGTAGTTATGCTTAAATATGTCTATTTCTTTAATTTTTCAATAGTCATATAAATGTTATCTGAGGAATAAAATTGTTGCTGTCACTGTCTTACACAAATATTCTGACGCGACAGCATCATAATTATTCCCCAGGTAACTTTTATCTAACCATTGAAAAATCAGCCCTTAATCTGTTTTGATATCTATTTGTGTTATTTGGCTGCAGATCGAATCTTTCACAATTTATACGGAACTTATGTTGACATGCCCTGTGGCCATACTCGGCAGAGCTATGCTGGCCTTCCCCCTTTTCCTCCCCAATACCTACATTTCCGATATCCTAATATAGCCAAAAGATTGGCAACGCCTACCTAATACGGTGGTCACGGAATGGAATAAACTCCCAGAAAATGTGATAAAAGCACCCACAGTTAATTCTTTTAAAAACAGACTCGACAAAATCTCCAAATCCATTAATACGCACGCATCAGCTTTCTAAGCTGCTAGTGTGTTCAAGTATATAATAATAATAATAACGCACTCGTAATTCCTCCTGATGTAATGGGTGTCCATGGGCGGCGCCGATTGCTTACCATCAAGTAATCCGTCTCCTCGTTTTATCGGCCCAATCTCCTATCGCCATGCGAAGGTATACCTTTTCCAAAGAATGCCAACGCACTTGTAAATCCTCTGGTTTGGTCAAAAATGGCTCCGATTGCTTCATCATCATCATCAGCCGGAAAACGTCCGTTGCTGGACAAAGGCCTCCCCCCTCCATCTATTGGCTCCCCGCGACTCTGACGATGTCGTCGGTCCACCTAGCGGGAGGCCTGCCCACACCACGTTTTCCGGTCCTTGGTCGCCACTCTAGCACTTTTCGGGCCCATCGGCCGTCCGTCCTTCGAGCGTCGATTTGCTTACCATCATATAATCATTCTTTCCTAATCTTCGTTTATTATAAGGAGAGGTTTTGACCTTCTCAGTACCTTTAACCGTTTTTCGACAAGAGCCCTCAAGGCTAGTGGAAGTCTCTGAGGATCTCCCGGACCCTTGTCCGTGATGACGAAGAGAGCACTGTCATATGGGACCAGCTTGGCAGCTGTTGCCAAAGCCCTCATTGTACCGTCATTTGTCGTCTCCGTGTTTACACCCTGGAGAAAGAAATGGGTTTTGGTTATTTAGAATGAAGACTTCTAGAATAGAAATTGATCAAGTGGTTTGGGTACTTACAACTATTTTGATAAAAGAGATGTTTACGATTTTAATTTCTCTCTCTATATTGAAGTAGAGGATAAAATTGTTTTGTTCATATACTAAAATTAAAAATATTTCATAATAGCTTTAAGTGTGGGAGAGCCATGCTTCGGCACGAATTGGTCGGCTCGACCAGGGTGATACAACCACAGCGTTGTGCTTCGCCGTGTGAGTGAGTTTATCCTGTGAACCCTCCCCAATCCCTTAATATCCAAAACCATAATCCCTAAAAGGTCGGCAACGCATTCGTCACTCCTTCGTTGTGGGTGTCCATGTGCGGCGCTGATTGCTTACCATCAGGTAATCCGTCTGCTAGTTTGTCGAACTATTACGTAAAAAAAAATAGCTTCCGGAGGCGGCGTCGCCCGCGTGGTATGTTTCTAAAAAGTCAGGTTAAGTCAAGTACAGGACCTATCTACCTATCTATATACCAAGTTTCACCCAAAGCGGTCAGCCGTTTTTGCGTGAGAATAACAAACATACATCTGTACATTGTCACAAACTTTTACTTTTTTATAATATTGGTAGGGCGTATATTGTCAATTGACGCTTCAAAGAACGTGCATCACGATTATGGGCCCTTGGTGTAGTCCGAAACTACTCGAGTAACAATTAGTTTTACGACAGTTACAATACAACGTTATTACTGTAATTTACCTGATATTTAAGTAGTAGCTTTGATAATGCCTCTGCAACGGTTTTCTCATTTGAAGAACTGGACGGTTGGAGATTGTGTCTAGATCTCCAGTTGACACCTGTTAACAACAAACAAATGATTAATTATTGTTTTTTTTTATCGTCATCATTATCCTATCGAACACCGCCAAATTCACTTTCTTATTTATCTACATACATGAATAGATGAAAAAAAACTATTTTTTTATATAATCAATGTATTCGTTTACCGTTGGACATACACATAAAGTCAAAGTCAAACTAGCAAATTTTTGCGCGTTTTCATCCGCTGCTAGCCTATAGCGTAAGGACAATCGAATGCTATAAAATGAGTCGGTGTTCTAAGATTAATAAGCCTATTAGGATACCTAGTTTTAAATTCACAATTATCCCCCAGTTTTTCAATATAAATACCGGTTATTATCAGTACTCTAAGTTTTTTAAACAGTGGTTTACAAGAAGTAAGTGGGTCTACATTGCATATTGCACTTATATACATATATCACTTTTGTGCGATGAAAGCTCTTTCAAGATGAAACAATGAATTTATTTTTGCAAATAGGCCATAAAACGGCACTTTAACACGTGAATTTATATGTGAAAAACTAGATGAAGCCGGCATTTCCTATCTGACTACTCTGAGAAGAAATGCCGAAACAAACTCAGAGGTTGCACAGATGCACCGAGTTTCCTCATACCATTATATCTAACGAAGTATTGAACCAACAAACTTACAAATGTTACCTATTTATAATATTAGTACAGATAACGACTTACTCATATGAATTTACAGAGAAAGGCCATACTAGATTGAAGTCGTCGCGACGTATACGCTGTTTATGTAAGAGTCCCGCTGTCACTTGAAACTAGTTGAGCATTGGATAAGTCGTAACAACTAGCTAGTCTCTCGCGGTTTCACCCGCTGCTCGGCTCCATTTAATCGTAGCGTGATGTTTTATAGCCTATAGCACTCAGGAACATTGTAGCTATCTATCAGTGAAAGAATTGTGGCAATCCGACCGGCGGTTACAAAGATTACCCCCTACATACAAACTTACAAATTTTATCTCTTTATAATATTAGTATAGATGTAGATAACAAAAACAAAATTAAAAGTCTTAACACTCATTATCGCCCCATATAGGTCGGGGAAAGACATCGGAGGGCCTAAGCATAGGTTTTCGGGTGAGGAAAAGGGATGGAGCTATAGAAGGTGTATAGCTCCATCCCTCTTTCTCGCCCGGAAGATTCACGCCTTAACGCATGATGCCTACAGATCATTTTATCCCCCCAAAAAATATAATGAAAATGGCGTCAGTACGTTTTTGTGGTGGTGGCCCAGAGGTTAATGCGCCCGCTTCTTATGCATGAGGGTGTGGGTTCGAAACCTGGCAAGTACCAATGTGACTTTTTCCGAGTTATGTGTACTTTCTATGATTATTTAGACACCACTGACATACGGTGAAGGTAAACATCGTGAGGAAACCTGGACTTGATAATTTCTAGTTATAAGTTTGAAATCGCCAACCCGCATTGAGCAAGCGTGTTGATTAATGCTCTAACCTTCTCCGCGTGAGAAGAGGCCTTTGCTCAGCAGTGGGCACTTATGGGCTGACGATGATGATGATGACGTTTTTGTTGTTATAACTATCGTTTTAGTAACACATTCTATATTATTATCAATCATTTGAATACGTAAAGAAAACCAAACACTCCAGTTATTGAGAAAGGTAAAGACCTTGATTCTAATTATGTAATATATATTTGTTACGCCCCAGTTACCTATACAGAGCAAAAACCAATGATTGCCAAGCAGAAACAAATTAGAATCGTGATACAATTCGGTTATAGATTTAAGTGTTGGAGAGCTATGCTTCGACACGAATGAGTCGGCTCGACCGCATTGTTAGCACGGAAACAGGCGTGAAACAACCGCAGCGTTGTATTTCGCCGTGTGAGTGAAGTTACTGCATGTCCATTCCTTCCCCGGCGGAAGAATGTGGATTCCCGTGACTCCACGCCTACGTTCGAGGAGACACGGGTGGTTTTAGCTGGTAAGACACCGGCATGACCCTCCGACTTTCCCCGGGCGGAGGAAGTCCATGAGGATTTCGCCCCGAAAATCGCCCATTCGACCTCCCCCCCATGCATTCTCTATTCTAAAATAAATAGATCACCACAGATGGGGTCTATAAGGCTGATATTCGGACAGGGTTTTGGGTTAAGCAAAATAAATGGGGTGGATTTTAGTCAGTAAGAGTCGCGAGTGACGTGCCCTCTCGCCCCACCCAGGGTGGGATAAGTCATTTGATTATTCCCCCCCTCAAGAAAAGGTGTTTGTAATAATCTAATAATGATTTTTAATAATTATTGACGATAATGCTATTGCTTTATGTACCTAGTAATGTTTTAGAATCTTATCAACTTTTTTGACTGCACCTCGAGTTCCGAGTGATTTGGTCACGCGTAAACGCGGAAACTGCTAAGCCGATTTTGATGATTTTTTATAGACCGACCGATATAAATTTTATTTCGATTATAGTCAGTTTTTAATGTGTAGCTCGTCCCTGAGATTATGCACATAAGCAACTTTTTAACATATGTATTATGAATAATGAATAGAGTCAAAGTCAATATCAAATAAACAACTTTTGTTTCTTTTTCGTTTGTTATATTGATTGCCATGACAACCAATAAATCCTACAATTAATATAAACGCGAATATTGTACGTTTAACATGGATGTTTGTCACTCTTACCTACACGTAAGAACTACTTAACGGATCGGAATGAAATTTGGCACTGAGATAGATATTACAGTCTGGAATAACACATGTGCTTTGTACCCTGCTTCTGTCGGTACAGACGCTTCCAGAAGCTAGTAATACATTTTATATGTATGTATAAACATTATAACAGAATTTATAGCTTCTAATTACAAGTTTAAAATCGCTAATCCGCCTTGAGCGTAGTGGTTAATGCTCAAACCTTTTCCGAGTGAGAAGAGGCGTTTGCTCGGCAGTGGGGGATTAAGGCTGATGATGTCGAGAGACAATCTCCGGCCACCGTAGGCGCGGGTCTGCGGACGGCGAGTAAGGGTAGCTCGCCCGACCAGACACAAGCGTAAGGCGCGTTGCGTTCCGCGCGCGCCTTAAGGAGCCAATAGACCACCACAGACGGGGTCCTATAGGGCTGATTTTTGGCTGCGGGGTAAGCGCAATGAGGCACCGCGGCCTCGGCCTAGAGTAGGAGAAGGAACGGGGGTGTTTTTAGTCAGTAAGAGTCTGACACTCCCTCCCGCCTCACCCTGGGCGGGAGAAGTCAATTGATGATTTGCCCCTAAACCAAAAAGGCTGATGATGTGATGCATATACAATAATATACATATATATTGTGATGACAATGGGATTAAACCGTGTCTGTCACGCATGTTTTGGTAAATACCGTGGCTAATCCAAATTTTCTTCGACACTGTTATAAAGATTTTGTGACGTAGTCTTTGTTTGTGTAAACTGAAGATTTGCATACGTCTTAACAATGTATGTGACTTATACAGCCATGGTTTTTTTTCTGCCAAAGGGTCTCCTCTTCATTTAAAAGAACAATTATAATTCCCAGCTTAGTTATGACACCACTGACACACGATGAAGGAAAACGTCTTCAGAAAACTTGGACTTGGTAATTTCAGTTTCAAATCGCCATTTGTTTTGAGCAAGCCTTAATTATTAATATCCTCATCCTTAGCAGCATTCACATTTTATAAAAATAACACCTGTATATATACATACATATTATGGAATGCTAATAAAGTATGTATCAAGTATCGAGTAGACAGCTATTTCAAACTTAGAACTACAAATGATAAGTCTAAACAAAAAATCTGATATTCCTTTGAAAAGTAATAATTAAAAGAAAACGTGGCGTTGGGGGACCGATCCAAACATTTTATTATCAACTACATATTTCTATTTTGTCGGGGGTCTAATTTATTTTATACTTTTTATAGGTATTTTATATTATTTTCTCTCGATTTAGTTATCAACATTCCCTTTCAGTTCGCTTTCATTTGACACTCGGGTGTATTTGTAGACCTTCGGTTACCCTTCCCCACTTACCCCCCCATAACTTCTAAACGGCTCAACCGATTTTCGTCAAACATGTCTGAGAACACACGCACGTAAGTCTCCTTTAATACAAAAAAAAAACTAAATTGAAATCGCTTCACC